GCGCGGTGCCAACCCTCCCGAGCGACTTCAGTTACGCGCTACAAGAGAAACAGGATCGTTTGGAGAGGTGCACCCCAGCACGGCACCAACGTCCTCTTCATTGCAAGCAATAACGTAAGCAAGAGAAAAAAAAGCTGGGCTTGGGGTATTGCTGAAGCAGTAGGCAAATGTGAAGCTGTGATGTTTGGGTCTGGGTGAGCCTGCTCCTGAACCTGCTCAAACTCTGGCCCTTCGTGCTGGCAGCTTTGCCTCTCTCCTGTCTCTCTCCCTTTCTCCCAGAGCAGAGCTGCTTGGGTTTTGCTTTTTTTTTTTTTTCCTTCCCTTGTCTGACTGCTTTCCTATTACGTGTGGGCTGAAGATGCGGTCAGTCCGTGCGCCAGCAAACTGGCCATCACTCACCCAGACAGGCACCGGCAGGACAGATAGGAAAGAGCAGAAAGTCAGTGTCGCTACCGAACACCTAGCTCTTTGGCCGCAATTATTTATAGCAACTTGGTACGTGTGCCTGTGTGCTTCTCCACGTGACGACAGGCATCGCTCCCAACCACTACCGGGTCTGGATGCCGCGGTGCGATAACCCCCGTTTTCTTGGTTATAACTGTATTTTTGGGCTATCTAGAAATACATGACTCAACTGTCTTACCTGCGAAATGCCACTGTGTTTCTGGAGAGAGCACTGTGCCTTTCAGGGGTAAAGCACCCGGTTCCTTCTCCCTGGGGGGCACTTGCTCCCTCCACGCCAAGGGGAAACCAGGGCGGGAACCTGCTCATCTCCTCGGGCTCAGCCCTCCGCAGCGGAGCGTGTGGCCAGGCTCCCTCCCCTCCAAAACCCAGCCCCTGCTCTACTTCCACGTGCTCTGAAATGCCGCTTACGTTGCTCACAACGCATTTGCGATTAGATGTCTGTCTGGAGAATTCGGCTGTCTTCAAGTTTGGGTTGGAGCTGAGCAAAGTTCAGTAACAGAAAGCATTTTAAAACCATGTTTCGCAGAAGACTTGACCCGAGCTCCGCTTAGAGCAACCCCTGCCAGCACTTGCAAGGCGGTATTTTGTCAGCGTTGAACCTCCAGCTACTCATTAATCATTTCACTCAGTTCAGATGGAGGACACAAAGCAAGGGGGAGGTGGGATATTTCCAGAACAAACCTATTTTTTGGTTACACATGAGTGTCTCAGTGTCTGCTTTGCTGACAAGCTGGAGCCCCACCCCAGCGATTTGTGCTCAGCCTTTGGGAAAAGAGTGAGACCGCTCTGAGGAAAATGATTTAAAATGCCTTCAGATGCCTTTTCACTTCTTTTTATTTAATTCCATAAATATTTTCATAAGGCTCAGTGTCTTTACAACACTTTTTTAAACACTTTTTTTGTTTTATACACACAACTTTGACACTTGTTTGACAGGGTCAAACAGTCCAATATAAACAAAATAATAAAACTGGCAAGTGCGGATCAGCTGGGTTACACAAATCCTTTTTTTTTTTCTTTTTTTTTCTTTTTTTTTTTGCTCTTACTGTTAAAACCCCAAAAGCACTAAAATATCAGTATTTGGCTTCAAACTAGAATTTTAAAAACCTTTTTTTTTTTTTTTTTTAAATTCTCTGCTACAAGTCCCTGTCGTCATAGTGCCTTTAAACTCCTACAGACTCTTCTTTTCTTCTTAAGGAAAAATAAGCTTGGTGATGCCATGCAGAACTTACAATAGCTACTAAATATACATGTTCCCTGAAATGTAGCTGCAATGAAAAGATGACAGAGCATAAAGAGAACAAAACCAGAAACCCAAAGCACCACAGTGTACTATCAATAACATTGCAGTGGACGGCCAGTGACCACCCAGAAACTGAAACAAATTTCAAATATATTTCTCTATGTATTATTTTCTATTTACAACTGTTAGATGCACCTAGGTTGGTTCTTGTTTGATCTTTTTGGAGAGGGTGGGGAGGCGAAAGTCTTGAATTTAGATCCTCTGTTCTAGTGTCTAGGTCAAGGGGTAATGCATGTCATTTACCTAGGGAAGAGGGCATTGTTATTTTTTTTTATATATATATATAGATTCAGCCAGAGAAATACCGTAAACATGTAAGTTTGTTACAACTCTCTTGTTTCTGCATATGGAATGGTAAGTGGGTTCCTCCTGTCTGGCATTGAAATGAAAGTCTGTATCAGATGCTCAGTCAAAATCACCCCCATCTGATTGCATCTGCGCTGCTCCCAGCGCGCTCAGACACATGAGGCAGCCCAGCCCTGCTCCCTAGCGGGAAAGCCACCGTAGGTAGTAAAAGTGGGACCCAGTGCTGGTTCTTCTTTGTGATAATGCTCCATCTCTTGCAGCACCTTGGCAATTTATGGAGGGGAAGAGCTTTCTTGAATGCCATGCCTGAGAGCCAAGCCCCTCTTCCCTCCGGAACAAACGCCTGCATCTGCTTTGCCTGCCGCCTGGCTTCGGCAAGCACTAGCAACGCTAGCTTGTTTTGGCTTTCCATTTAAGAAAGAAGCTGCGAGTCCAACAAGTGGCCTTGTCAGATCAAGCGAGTCTTGATTTATGATGCAAATAATGGTGTGGCGGTGGTGTTTCTTTTTTCCTAGTGCTGAATATTTAGGAAGCATCTTCTCATAAAAATTATGGATGTCTCATTCTCACTCTCTGAGGCACAAAACAGTAAATGAACAGGCTTAACTAATGTGCTTGTTACTTTTTTCCCTAAGCAATTAAAAAGGCAAAGGAATAAGTGAAATTTTCATCATGTTGACAACAGTTTGTAATCTCTCTCTCTTTCTCTCTCTCTCTCTGCATCTCTCCAGCCATTCCGAAATAGTAAAACATTTCAGTTAACTTCTGAGAACCCATCTCATTCGCTTCTTTAAATACCCATTCTGTTAAAGAAACAAAATAATATTTGCTACATATTCAGTATTAAACTCTGACCATAAAAATGCAAAGATACAAAAGAGCATAAAAATAAGTTCTGATACAAAATTGGGTTGCCTCCTATTTGGGATTCCCGGTGCTTCGCTGCTGCCTGTCACAGAGGGGCAAAACCACTTCCTCTCCAAAACACTACTCCGGCTTTGCTGTTTATTGATAGTTTCTAGATTACTAAAAAGTGCTGAGATTATTGTTGTACTGAAATAAAAAAATATAGCCACTGCCTTGTAATATGCCCTGAAATAAAACAGGCTCCATGGACATGCTGAAATCACACCCTCTGCTCTTCCCATTCGCTTGTATTTCTTAGGAGAGAAAAAAAAAGTATCTCCACGCTCGTTGGCCTGGGGTGCTTATGTGGTGTATCAGATTCAAAAGAAAATGATAAATACCGTGATCAATCACTTCATCCCACATTTTCAAAGGAGGGTGCAGAATAGCTCTGCAAAGTTTTCAAGTTCATCTTCTAAATCTGGTTAAACAGTCTCATTCGCCCTAGGAAAAAAAAGTCATCCCAGAGCACAATGATTTGTTTTACAAGCTTAAACATAAGCTTTTGCGCTTGCAAACAAATGTACTTAAGGCTGAAATTGTAGGAAATGTCTTTGAAAAAAGAGCTATGAATCTCCAGAGGGAGAAAAAGAGAGAGAAAGAGACCTGGAGAGTTTAGCTCATCACTCCAGAGCCC